TCTCCCTCTCCCTCTCCCTCTCCCTCTCCCTCTCCCTCTCCCTCTCCTTCTCCTTCTCCTTCTCCTTCTCCTTCTTCTTCTTCTTCTTCTTCTTCTTCTTCTTCTCCCTTTCCTTCCATCACCCACTAAAAAAATATCCAACATCATGGTGTGCCTATCTGTCTGTCTTCTCAACCTGCAGAATGGTCTTGTGGTGTGCCTATGTGCCCATCCGGCTTTCTCTCCCCATGGGACTCACTGCCCCTTGTAGCCCACTGCCGCCACTTGGGGAACTGCACCATTCCTGCCTGGGACAGGCTGCTATCATGACCCACTGCCAGTTGCCTGCCCCTGCTCAGGGATCTCCGACATGGTCTCATGCCCACTAAAGTCACCCAGGGAACCTGAAACATTTTATTTAATCCATTACAGTTGAACTTGGATTTAATTCTCTCTCTATCTCCTCCCATAGAAAGTTTCTCTTTTATTGTTTAGAGAAGAAAAGAAAATAGAAAAAGTGTGAGATGGAACATGGTCTTTCTTTAAGTGTTGTTGGTCTTAGCAAACAAAAATAAAGACTAAAAATAAAAACAAAAATTGATTTTCAGATGAATAACAAATGCCACAATAGTATAACTCTGAACTATGAATACATCCTGTCAGATATTTGACAAGATATTGTGGAGTGTTAGAAAACAACATAAGTCACTCCTCTATTTATTGTACATCTGGCATTCAAATTGAAGTCATAGCCCTATTTTATCTGACAACCCTAAGTGCTTGAGTCAAGCACTCATCATAGGACAGTGTGCAGGGAGCAGACCCATTCTATTAGGCCAAGTCTATGGCTTAAAAATTCTCTGTTCCCCATCCAGTCTGATACCAGAATCATTGCAATGAGTGAAACAGTTCATCTGTAGCCAAAACTGTCGATTAACTCTTCACAACAGAGATGGTCAAAAAAAAAAGCATTCAAACCTATTTATTAGTCTGGTGCAGGAGAATTGTCTGTATTCTGTCAATCATGTATTTTAATAAAACGCTGATTGGCCAGGCAGGAAGTATAGGTGGGTCAACCAGACAGGAAGTAGAGGTGGGGCGATGAGAACAGGAATATTCTGGGAAACAGGAAGCTTGCTCCTCCATTTCTGCTCAGATCACCGAAGAAGCAACATGTGAGCTGACAACTGAAAAAGATACCAAACCATGTGGCTAACATAGATAAGGATAATGGGGTAACAAAAGTTATAAGAACTAATAAGTAGCCTGACCTAATGGACCAATCAGTTTATAATCTTATGGAGTCCTGTGTGTATTTCTCTTTGGGGCACGCCAGTTGTGGGGTACTGGGTGGGACAGATACCCCAACAAGCCGGCCCTCACACTACATTAGTCAGTTGGGACTTGGCCAAAATAGATAATGCTGATTAAGGGTTTTGTAGTTGTTGCTGCCTCTGCTGCTGCTGCTGCTGCTGCTGTTGTTTTTCACTGTTGACAATCTACATTATTTCATACTGCCATCAATTATAGGATATTTCATGGAAAACTCTCTCCTGGTAATGTGAAAAGTAGAATAATCCCTATGTAACTGGTGTAGTTGCCACAAAGTCAATTGGTAGGGTGGGCTAAATGACCATGTTTAAAGATAGGGGCCTTGCCTGGATAGTAGGTTGTCTGCTTTATGGTTTGATCAAGATGCAGAAAGCTTCCTTGAGCTTAAATAATATAATATAATGATATTATTTATGTAATAATATAATTAAATAATATAATAGTCTAAGTGACTATTATAAAATAATGAGCAAAAAATATGTTGACTCCAGTCAGGAGGGATGATAGAAATATGGGCTCATCTAAGTTTTGTTAAGATATACTTAATTGCATTGATAATGTTTGGCTCTGTCATTTTCTAGGAGCTAATTCTTTCATTCTTTTGTAAAGAAAATGTCCCTAAAGACATCAATTTTGAAGAAAAATGTTTGATCTAAACGTAGAGACAGTGTACCAAATGATGATCAGAGTTGTAAGATAACTTCAATCCTTAAAATACAGACAGCCATTTTCAATAAATTTTACAGAGGTCTTGTAAGCAGACATAGCTATGAAATAGCTGCAAAACAGTCTCCTCATAACATCACAAAGGTTTAGTGTAGGTCCTCCAAGGAGGAGTGGGCTTTAAAATCAAAATGTTCTGTTTCATACATTCAAAATCAACAATAATAATCCCCTCTGCAAGTAAATAATCACAACCTAGCTCTAATTAAATGACAGCTATGACAATGAAACTAGCAGAGACTTTAAGACACTAATGGACCTATGTGAGATCATGCACTGGTTAGTTTTCTGTCAACTTGTCAGAGATTGAGATCATCTGAAAGGAGAGAAATGAAATTTAAAGAAAATGCCACTATCAGGCTTGTGTACAGGCAAATCTTTGGGATATCTCACATCGTGGCCAGAAAGGCGTGGTTTCTGGAACTTGAGGCAATTGGTCATTTTCCATTCTCAGTCACGAAGCAGAGAGATGGATGCCAGCACTGGACTCATTGTCTCTTTTACATCAGTGTAAGACCTCTGCCCACATAATGATCCCACTTGTACTTAAGACAAATCTTCCAAGCTCAACTATTCCATCTAGAAACTCCACCACAGATGTGCCCAGATGTCTTCCAAGTAACTCTAGCTCATGTCAAGTTGACAGTGTTAATTACCACAAGCTCCCCTTTGACACCATGAGGCCCAAACATCACAGCCATAACTTTTCACTCCTGATTTTTATAGGCTTATGACCAATCTCATAAATAAAAAAAGCATTCAGTCTAAATGTAAAAGTGTCCATAAACTTTTCAGTTGTAATGCTGTTCAAACATTTAAGTATAGAGTTGTTTCTGAGACTCAGGCCACCTCTAGATGCTGAACCCCTATAAACTAAATATAGCAAGTGACATGCCTCCAAAATAAATGGCATAGACTAAATATTCATATTTCAAAATGGAGTAATGGGGATATAGAAAGGGAAGATTAAAAGGTGCCGCTGGGCTAATGCCTTAAAATAATGCATGCTTTGAAACAACATTTCTATTTTAAATTACTCTTTTGTAATTTAACTAAGATAAGGAAATAAGAGTGTAGTTCAGACTGTAAAGGAGATGGAGGAAAGGGTAGGGAAACATTATCCTCTACTTCCTGCTTGTGATCGGTAGAAGATGAGCAGTGACTAAATTAATCTTCCACCTCTGTCCAGCTTCTCTGGAGGGTAGAACTTGAATGCCAATGGATAAGATCGTGTTCTGTTTTGACTTGTTCCACTACTTAACTATTGCATTTATTAAACACTGACAACTTTTCAGTCAAATATGTGTTGACCCTTAATTAAGTTCACACAAATCTGGGATTCTGGCTTCCTGATTTCTGCAACTGAATAGAAGAAAAGATTGAGCTAAATGTACATCAAGAATGGCAAACTCGGCCCCCTCCAGCCATCCCAGCTTCCATCCAGAGGGCCATCGGAAGGGTGAGTTTGCATCAGGCCTGCAGCAGGGGCCCTGTGAGGAGGAGCTCAGACTTTCCCCGACCCCATAGACTCCCAGGTCAACCTGTGGTGCTGGTTCCACCCTGCTAAGCTCTCCCGCCTGCCATCCCAGCTTCCATCCAGGTACAAATTCCTATATTTCTCCCTTCCCACTGGTGCCATAAATTTTCCCCCGCTCATGCACACTGGGCCTGCTCTGTAGGCGCATCCCGGAAAGAGGGAGTGCCTGTGCTTCAATAGCCTGCCTGAGGAAAGGTAGGCATTCTATCAGTGAATTCCCTGCCCAACAAGGGAACCTGACCTGCTACCAGAAGTTCCAATAGAGAGCATTTGAACGAAGAGATGGGCAGACACCAAGGCAAGACCAACTCCAACAATCTGAAAAAAAAAACATGAAAACACCAGATCCCAACGACCCTACAACAGAAATACTTGAACACTCTAACCCAGATGAAGTGGGAAAAAGTGCCATTATGAAAGCAATAGAATCCCTTAAACAGGATA